TTTTTTTTTTTGGGTTTGCAATATTAGGGGTGATATGTAGAGGGAATGGTACCAAAAAAAAAAGGGGTGATTGATATGCTATTAATAGGGAGTATTAATTAAAATTATGGTAGTTAATGAAATGCTTGAAATAAATTATAAATAAAATATGAAGTTTGGTGGCAACGATGTAAAAATATAGGAATACTATGACCTCTTATATCATACTGGTCATTTAAATCTGAAATTGGATTTTACATATAGATTTATAGAGTGGTGGGTATATGTCTAGGAAGTAGAAAATATAGGGACCTATATTGGACAAGCCCTTATAATTACCTGGTCATTTCTTTGGAAAACATTAGTAAAAGGATGATAAAGAAATCCACAAGTTGGCGGTAGTTATGAACTCATATTGCTAATGTCTATAGGAGGATCTTTCAGTGGCTCCTTTTCTTCTTTGGTTGCAGCCATAAGTGATTGTATATACTCAATTTCCTTCTTCAGTCTTTTGTTTCCGCTTAGTAGCGGGCGAAAAATGAAAAAGGAAATATTTTGTTATGTATTCTTCTTCTTTTCATAGTTGGGTAGGATAGGAAGGAGACTCTTCATCTTCTTCTTATGCAGAAACAAAACCATTTCAGAATTGGCATATTTTTAGCCTTTGAGTTCTGTTTTAAAAGTATGATTAATATTGGTCTATATGTTTAAACAGTGAGAGCAGGTGATGAAGAAAATGGAAAGTTGAAGTCTATCTATGAATTGGGGAGGCAAAGAAGCTAAGTTTAAAGTTGAAGTCTAAGAATAACGGAGCCACAAAGCTGTTAATATATTGGGGTGTATACATGATTTAATGGCTGTTATAGTATTTCTCTTGTGCCAATCTTCTAAGAATAAGGTGTTGTTGCGGACTTGTTTTTCCAATTTGTTGTATGCAATGTGTTATAATTCTATTCACCATATCTTTATCCTACATGCAATGTGCTGGAATTAATTGTGAAGGCGTTTCTGATATCAATTGACTTTCCGCTTGTACGGACTCCAATTTTTTAAGCTCTCTTAAGTTTAGGAGATACATTACCAGATGTGCAAAAAAGCATAGTAATAAGTGAACAAATTGACCTAAGAGCGGCCATTAATTTTGTTATAATCATGGAGTTTTTTTTCATAAAAAACTAAAATTAATAAAAAGCGAAATTGGCTACAATAGCCACTTTACAAAACTTCTATTCCAAAATGGGGAAGTGGCTATTATTGAATAAATGTTTTGAAAAGTGGCTATTTTAGCACAAATCCCTAATAAAAACCATACAAGGTTATAAGTAGCGAGAATCAAGAATTAGTGAAACTGTATGTCATTGTTAGAAGTATGCTCTAGAGCCAATCATGAGATGTAAACTTTAAGGATATTTCACTTTATTAATTAAGGGCATTATGTTGTTTTGAGTAATGATCTTAGTCATTTACTTAACCAACAAGTACATGGATCATGAGACTTATAAAGTGACTTAAAGAAGTTAAGTTCACGAGACCTTTCTGTACCATATGTCCACATCCTAAATAGTTCTTGGTCATAGGATAATCAACTGGGCTTTGATAATCCACAATGACCATCATGCATTATATCTACTCAATCAAGAGGATGACTAGTCTCGAGTTATTCGTGTGGAGACACTAAGATAAGTGTATGAGTGTTCAATAAAGAATGAATTCACTAAACGCGATCAAAAGAGAGAACTTGAATGGAAGTTTTACTTACATGTCAATCAAGATCTCTCAAGTTTGAATAGTGCAAATTAGTCCTTGACCTGAGGCACCACAAGTTGTCTCATGGAAGCGTCATGGGCCGTTAGCCATGTTGAAGCGTTGTGTTCCTCTGGGCATAACCCAAAAGTATGACTAGGGTTCGCGATCAATTCATAGAGACATGTGAGTGTACAACAAAGGATCTCTATCTCCAGTAAAGGAGGAGAATGCTCAGAAGATGTGATTCGGAAGTCTTTGGCCAAAGCAACGAACTAGATCAACAATTGAGATTGTCATCATGCTCTAATGAATCACATGAGACTGTAGATTATGCTAAGGGATTGACATGAATTCCATGCCCCAATAACACGATCAAGAGCATTGATTAAGAGAAGAATCGTACTGCAAAGTAATTTCAACTGAATAGGTTCACAACCCCATTCTATTTTGGCTTGGGCAACCGTGACATGTTGCTAAATGTCACGGTTTGTGAAAGCCCTGAGAACAAAATATAATCTAGTTCTCATAAAGGGAGAATTAAAAGGAATTTTTTATTCACAATTGACCAATAAAGAGTTTTGGATCACCCATCAGCTTGCCGATTAGAGCCTAATGGATGGCACACCAATAAGGTTAGATGAAATGAAATAAATATAATGTTCATAGACTTATTAATTTAATAGAGATTGAATTAATTAAGAGAATACGGAAAAATGGTATTTTGGGCCTAAACTATGAAATTGGGTTCAAGGCCTTTGGGCTTGGACCCAATGGGCTAATTGAGTTATGTGGGCATAGTAGGATGACCACTTGAGCCCAACAAGCCCAAATATACCCCATGACCGGTTTTACCTAGAGGGAGACTTAGGTCTCCTTCATGTGGTTTTATATATGTGAACTTTGATTCTTGAGAAAAGTTAAGGTTTTTGAGCTAGTTTCAAGAGAGGAGTTACCATCAAGCTCCTCCCACCTAGCCAAAAAATGGGCCACCCTAGGAAGTGAAGTGAGCATTAGCATCATTTCCTTCCAAGGCTGCATCATATCCTCCATCTTCCTTGGTATGGAAAAGTTAGAGATCACCTCTATTGGTGATTTGATGAATCTATAAGGCCTTCCATAAGGTGATCAACTCAAAAGATGTCAATCTTGAGTAGTGCTTCAAGGGTAAAGTTTCTACTCTCTCTTTCTCTTAGTCTAGAATGTTTAGGTGTAGAACAATCTAAACCAAGCCTCAAGATACTTGGGGTTAGTTATGTCAAGGCTCAAAGATTAAATTTTAAAGCTTCTGTTGCCTAAAGTTACTTGTAACCTTATCTTTATGGCTAAATATAACTAAGATTTTAATGTTTCCTTCCTTGTTACCAAAACTCAAGAATCTGGTTGAAATGACATCATTAATTCATTTAACTAATAATCCTTGCAAATATTGTTGGAGAAATATGAAAAAAAGAAGATGAAACGGCAGTACTGGGAGAAAAACATTGGTGAATTTATTTTATTTCTATTTTTAAAAAACTTACTTGTTAATTACTGTTGCCCCCGTAGTGTTATTCATTTATTGTAAGTGTACTTGTGCCAAAAATAATGTAAAGAGGGTCGTAATTGGAACTTTTGAAAACGCTAGTTCATGCATTTTTGTTCATTTTGGTCCTGAGCAAGTCTCGGGTTTCTTGAGAGCTTTAGAGAACTTATCCTTTTTCGTTCTCATAAATACGACCCCACATCTACTCCCATATATCTAATTATGAGTTTTCTGCCTAACTCCTCTTGAAAACAAGATATTAGTGTCAATAAATGCAAAGCATAACATACACTTTAGCAAACAACACACCAACCATCATATGAATGAGTAGAGTTGTGTGTTCAACTTTTTTGAGTCTCACCCAATCAGTTTGTCTATTGAACCTAGACCATGGGATCTCCAATCAACTAGGTTAGGTTTCCGCCTGGCTCAACTCATTGCATTGGCTTTAAATGCATTCCCCTCGATGTAAATTTAATTTGCTCTCTTGGTAGGCCTGTTGTCGAAGGCTCTGCAATATTTTCCTTTGACTTCACATAATCCATGGATATAACTCCATTTGATAGCAATTTTCTAATTGTATTATGCCTACACCTGATATGTCTGGACTTACCATTGTATACACCACTTTTGGCTCTTGCATGAGCTGCCATACTATCACAGTGTATACAAATTGTTGTCACATGCTTAGGCCACATTGGAATGTCCTCTAGGAAGTTTCTAAGCCATTATGCTTCTTCAGCAGCTTTATCTAAGGCTATAAACTCTGATTCCATTGTAGAATGTGCTAAACATGTCTGCTTAGAGGATTTCCAAGACATTGCTGCTCCACCTAATGTAAACACATATCCACTAATTGACTTGGTTTTTGTACTGTTAGAAAGCCAATTTGCATCACTATAGCGTTCCAGAACTTGTGGATATTTTGTATAATGCAATCCATAATCTAGGGTGTATTTCAAATATATTAACACCTAGATTAATCCCTCCCAATGATCATGTCCATGATTGCTTGTGTATCTACTAAGCATGCTTATTGAATAAGCTATGTCAAGCCTAGTAAAATTCATTAATTACATTAGGCTCCCAATTACTTAGGAATACTCCAACTGAGAAATTGCATCTCCATTATTTTCTTTAACTTGCAATTTACATCAAAAGGAGTCACAGCAGGTTTGCAGTCAAATTGACCAAACTTTCTTAAAATCTTTTATGCATAATGGAATTGAGTAAGAACATAGCCATCACTATTTCTTTTGATTTGAATTCCTAGAATGACATCAGCTTGACCCAAGTCTTTCATGTCAAAACTTGAATTAAACATCTTCTTTGTAGAATTTATTGCATATCCTTATTTGTTCCCATTATGAGCATGTCATCAACATATAAACATACAAGAACACATTCTTGTTCCCATTGTGAGCATGTCATTGAGCTATAGGAGGTTAAAAGGGAGTATTTGAACAAATTTGATTGTAGCCTATTATTATAGGAGGGCAAACATAAATGTGTAATGAGATGAATTATACATTTGCATAAAATTAGGGGATGAAAAAAGGTTAGCCACCAAATAAAGATCTAGTGGCATAATTTGTAAATAAATCAATTTACATGGACACATTGTCATTTAATTGGGTTTTGTTTGTACCATATCTGACCCTCCACTCATACAGCGACGCGTGGATTGGTAAAACTCCCCAATTGCCCAAGGCAGCGAACAATCGGTATCACCTACCGATTCTACCGAACAAACCTCGAAAACCCCGTCCAAAATATCCAAAGACTCGTGTCAACCTCGCAGGGCCCTCCCATGAGTCCCACATCGAAATTAAGTACTAAGAGCATACCAAATGCCCACTATAAATAGGCCCCTTCACTACAATACAAGGGCAAGGACTCTGGTAGGCGAAGCAACTTCGGAGATTCGAAGAAAAACCGACCGGAAGAAGCCTTCACTTTGCTCAATACCACTTACGAGCACGTCCTCATGACAGAGAATCAGATGATACCGAAGCCAAACAACCGCAAGCTCCCTCGGCAGAACGAGAAGGACACAGGGGTCTTCTGCCGATACCTCCAGTACAACGGCCACGATAGAATCATGCATCGCGCTTCGTAAAATTGTCGAACGCCTAATCAACGAAGGGAAACTAAACGCCATGCTAGAATCCAACTCCCATTCTAAAGTCCTAAACATAGATGCTCATCTACATTCATGCTTGTTCATGCTTTGTTCATACAAAAATTCAACAAATTCAACACTTTGATTCACTAAAATAAAAAACACAGCAACATACCTTGTTCACACGGTGGTTCCTTCTCGTCGGAAATCGCCTCCGCCTTGATAAAGCTCACCGGAAATCGCCTACAACGCCTTAGCACAGTCGCCGGAAATCGCCTCTCACAAGCTCTGATTGCTCTCAAAAAACTTCCAAGTATTTCAACTATCGTCCCCTCCTTACATTTATAGGACGAACCTAGCATCGGGATACGAAATGACGCGACCCTTCGCAGCCATACCGACACGTGTCATACATGCATGGGGGAGTCCAACCGTCGTCACTCGAAACGTCTCCAATTCTCAGAAGCACTTCAACTTCCCAAACGCTACAACTCTCGCCACTTTCGAGCGCAACTCCACTGGCTAACGGCAGGCGCACATTGATGAGTTTTCACTCACCTCTCGTGCTGAACGGCAGGCGCACATCGATGAGTTTTCACTCACCTCTCGTGCCAAACGACCTCTCGTACTGAACGACAAGCGCACATCGATGAGTTTTCACTCAACCTCTCGTGCCGAACGACAAGCGCACATCGATGAGTTTTCACTCAACCTCTCGTGCAGAACGGCAGACGCACATTGATGAATTTTCACTCACCTCTCGTGCCGAACGGCAGGCGCATATTGCTGAGTTTTCACTCACCTCTCGCCGTCTCTTTTCCAAGCTCACTCGCTCGGGCACTTGGGGGACTACATGACCACCATCGGCAAGAACGAGACCATCGTGTCTGGATCAGAATGCCAAAGACAGATTCAAGTCCCCAACCAAGAAGTCGCTTCTCAATCGGTAACTTGGGGGACTACTGTTTGTACCATATCTGACCCTCCACTCATACAGCGACGCGTGGATTGGTAAAACTCCCCAATTGCCCAAGGCAGCGAACAATCAATATCACCTACCGATTCTACCGAACAAACCTCGAAAACCCCATCTGAAATATCCAAAGACTCGTGTCAACCTCGCAAGGCCCGCCCACGAGTCCCACATCGAAATTAAGTACTAAGAGCATACCAAATGCCCTCTATAAATAGGCACCTTCACTACAATACAGGGGTAAGACTTTTCAGCTTGACTTTTATACTAAATACATTGTCAGCAGCAAAAGCTCTTAGAAACAAACTTACTTTGGCATCGGAGGGTCTTAGGCTGGTTCCACACCGGTTCCATAAACCTCACGAGCCTCGGCTTCCTTCTATTCAGGATCAGCATCCAAGGACGGGAAGAATCTACGTCACACGCTCAATCGATCTCTAGATCGTTCACATCACTTGTAAGTTGCACTCATCTCTATCTGTTCAGTTTTAGTGCCAACAAGTTTTACTTAAACGTTGTATTATTGGTGGGTTATCGTTTATGATTTTTGAGTTAGAAGGGCCTATTTTAATATGGGAAATATTTTTGCTCACCACTTTAACCCAAGGTGTATGCCCACCACCCTTCTTAATACTTGACACGTATCCATAAGCATAACCATTGTTGACTTTTTACTTTGATTTATGGACACGTGTCACGTGTTGAGAATGATGGTGAGCATACACCTTGGGTTAAAGTGGTGAGCAAAAATGCTCCCTTTCGGTATGACCCTAATTTTAATTAAGATGATCAATAAGATAAAACCATATACTAGGAATCAGTCATTCTCACCTAAGGACCTAAAAATGAGGTCATGTGAGCACTATTTAATATAGGCCCTTGGATTAATCCAATGGCACATATAGTTAGTAGACTAAACCCTCATTCATACTCCTAATTTACCCAAACAAACCGTAATTATTCTAATCCACAAAAATTAAAAAAATCCAGCTAATAAAGTGAGAGTATGATTATACTTGATTTCGTTCCTTAGAAATTGATCATTAAGCAACAAATATCTTTAACTGGGTAATCAATTTGATCACTTTCTTGGAGCGAAATACAGTTTTGAATTGATCTTAACACCAAACAGAGCAGATACTTGATTCATATTGTTGATGCCCAAAATTGGTTCAACAGAAGATGACCTCTTCGAGATCGAGGTCGGGCAATTCTTCCGGATTAGGTCAGCGTGACCAACCAAGTCGTCCTCCAGAACCTGTAAAACAAGATAGCCTCAGTGGGTGACACCGGTGTGGTGTCGGCCAAAGACCCTCTGATGCTAAAGTCAGTTGAGTGTTTGAGAGTAAAACTACACAATAGGTTCTAATGCTTAGAATTGCGTACCTTTCACGGAGGATGGCCTTAGCCTTTTATATTATCCCAAGCAACCTAATCTTTCTCGGAGTGGAACTCCAGAGCGAACCAGCTCTCCTCGAACTAGGACTCTAAAACAACCTAACCCTCCTCGGACTAGGACTCCATTTAGATAAGCGTCTTGGTGATCCCGAAACATCTCAACTTCTTCAGGACTAGAAGTCCTTTGAGTGAACACCACGTAAACCAAGTTGATGTCAGCCTCATGTGCACCGGGCTCAAGCTCATGGACTAAGGGGCCCATATTGCCCACAAGCCCACATGGGTCAAGGTGAAAAAATATATAGCGACTAAGCTCGAGCCTAGCCCAACCACTAACACCGTGGTCTGGCCCAGCTCAACCACCAACATCGCGGTCTGGCACAGCTCGACCACCAACACCGCGGTCTGGCACAGCTCGACCACCAACACCGCGGTCTGGCACAGCTCGACCACCAACACCGCGGTCTGGCACAGCTCGACCACCAACACCGCGGTCTGGCACAGCTCGACCACCAACACCGCGGTCTGGCACAGCTCGACCACCAACACCGCGGTCTGGCACAGCTCGACCACCAACACCGCGGTCTGGCACAGCTCGACCACCAACACCGCGGTCTGGCACAGCTCGACCACCAACACCGCGGTCTGGCACAGCTCGACCACCAACACCGCGGTCTGGCACAGCTCGACCACCAACACCGCGGTCTGGCACAGCTCGACCACCAACACCGCGGTCTGGCACAGCTCGACCACCAACACCGCGGTCTGGCACAGCTCGACCACCAACACCGCGGTCTGGCACAGCTCGACCACCAACACCGCGGTCTGGCACAGCTCGACCACCAACACCGCGGTCTGGCACAGCTCGACCACCAACACCGCGGTCTGGCACAGCTCGACCACCAACACCGTGGTCTGGCCTAGCTCGACCACCAACACCGTGGCCCAAGCTCATGAGCCAACACCGTAATCTAGCACAGCTTGACTAATAACACCGTGGTCTGGTACAGCCCGACCACTAACACCATGGTGTAGTCTAGCTCGGCCTAGAGGTATTTTACCTCACAAACACATATAACAAAAACTTTCAAAGTAAATATACAAAAAAAAAAAAAAAAAAAAAAA